TCTGGGAAGGGCGGGAGGGTGAGCAGGGGGAGGGTTACCCCCATCCCGCTGCCCCACACTCCCAAATTCCTCGTTCCCACACGCCCAGTTGCCACATTGCCCGTTCCCAGGCTCACCCCAGGCGAAGATCCCGGGCTCCGGCATTCCGGCGTGCTCCACCCGGCACCGGTACTGCTCCCGCTCCCCCGGCAGCGCCTCGATCCTGGCCCAGCTGTGGAAGGTGCCGTCACTGTTGGGAACGATCCCGCCCCACTCCGTCTCCTGATCCCAGATTTCATCCCCCTTCATCCAGTTGATCGCGATGATCCCGGGGTAGAATCCGTACGTGTGGCAGGACAACGTCAGGATCCCGTGTTCCTCTTTCCCAGACACGTGGACATCAGGGGGCTCTGGAATGGGATAAGGGTGAGATCCATCCATGGAATTCCCATGGGAATGGGACCACAGTGAGATCCATCCACAGAATTCCCATTGGAATGGGACAACAGTGGGATCCATCCATGGAATTCCCATGGGAATGGGATTGGGGTGAGATCCACCCACAGAATTCCCACTGGAATAGGACAACAGTGGGATCCATCCATGGAATTCCCATGGGAGTTGGATGACTCAGATTCATCCACGGAATTCCCACAGGAGTTCCCATGTTCCTCAGTTCCACCTTCCCAAAATCCCGCATTCCCAAATCCCACATTCCCATGGGAATTCTGTCTCCCTCACCTTTGCGCTCCAGCACCTCCCGCCCGTATCCAACATATTTCTGGAGCCATTCCGCACATCTCAGTCCCAGGTCTTGTTGAAGATCCTCATACCCTTCAGATTTCCATTTCCTCTGGGTGATCTGGGCAGCTCCATCGGCCGCCACGAAGGTCCCGCTCTCCGGGGAGAAGGAGATGAAATCCCGCCCGTCGTAGCCAACTCGAAGGGTTCTGCGGACACTCCCGTCGGACAGGAGGTCACAGCCAGAAAGCCGCTGCCACGTGTGGAGACCTGGGGGGTGGGATCAGACCCAGAGAGACCCCTGGAATTGTGTCTCAGCCCCACGGAGCCCCATTCCAGCCCTATGGAGCCCCAGAGTCCGATGGAGACCCACAGATCCCAGCCCAGCCCCTTGGAGTGCCCTGGATCCATATCCTGGCCCCACACATCCCATCCCAGCCCCACACATCCCATCCCAGCCCCACACATCCCCCCATTCCCTGGCTCCCCCCACTCACCTCCACTCCAGTTGTACTGACCCTGCCCCACTGTCTCCAGGTCAGCAGCAGCCACGAGCCGGTTCCTATCTTCGTTCTGGGTCCCTTCATCCCAATATCCCGGCTCAGGTCCAGCCGCCATCCACGGTGTCAGCGGCTCTTTCCGGCGCCGCTCGCTGTCGTAGCGTGTGATGGGGATCCCGTCCAGGTATCCCACGGACAGGTATTGAGGGACCCCCAGGCTGGGCTCCGTCACCGCCACCTTCAGGTAACGCAGGGAGTGGAGAACTGGAGGGACACGGAAATTTGGGAGGTCCAGGGGGGTCATGGGTCAAGGAAAGGGGGAACTGGGACAGTTGGGAGACCCACAAAAGGGGGTTTGGGGATCCCAGGGCCAAGAAAGGAGGATGTAGGGACTGGGAGAGGTGAGATGGGGCATCCAGGGGTCCCTGTGCCCATGAAAGGGGGGTCCGGGGGGCCTCAGTGTTGGGGAAAGAGGGGTCATGGGGTGAGGAGAGCCAGAATAGCCAGCACAGGGGGTGCAGGGGGGTGTTGGTG